GCTGTAACACACTTTCTCTGAAGCTTCTACACTGGAACACAACACAAATTAACTGTCATGTTTAAGCAATTATCTTCTATCAAAACGATCAAAAAACTAATTTACACAAGAGATACAGTAGATGCATTTCCAATTTTCCCTCTAGCTTCCCCAAGACAGCGCAAGCGATCTAAACAAACACAGTCAATCATTTGTGAGAGTGTGTATGTAGGGAAAGAGTGCTTTTTAAAATTATTATTTATTCTTAAATAAAGGGAAGAAGTGTGATCTTCCCTGTAAGGGATAGACTGGAAATAGAGAAGATATGTCAGTGAATGTTTTATGTATAGGGATGTTATACAGATCAATATCCTACTTTTAACTATGAGAATTTTTTCTCACAGAAAACTGATAGTACAAATGGATAGTAGTCAATTTTCTAAACAAGCTTTTTACAGGGTAAAGAGGGAACTAAATGGAGAGAAAAAATTTTATATTCAGCATCATGAAACAGATTTTTCTTCTTGTGACCTTGAGCAAGATGTCTGCTCCTATCTGACAAACATTAGTACCTAGAATATGAGCCATATCACGTCTGGGTTCCTAATCAAAACATGTAAACAAATCAGTGTCATTCGGCAAGGGGAGAGGGGACTGGTGTCCACAGATGACACAAACAGAGGGGAAATAAAAATAATTTTTTCCTTCATTCTTTCTAGTCACTTTTGGAGATCTACAACAGTAGAATCTTCTAATCACTTTTTTTTAAGTGCAGGGCTGAGTGTTATTTGTACAATTTTTGTACTTTAAAGTGATTTGCTGGAATAATTTAATATACCTACACTGCTACAAATATACTCTATTTTCTGCATGCAACATGCCAATTCCATTAAAATCTACCACAAATAGCCTAATTTTGAAAAGTGACTACAAAAACAATGTTTGAAAGAACAAAGTCTTTTTGTTACTGAAAATATGTCTCCTGGAGGTATGAACTACTTCTTCTCTCATATTGTTTTTTGTTTTCCCTCAACCCTTCATAACTACCATCTCAAAGCCTTGTGTTAGCATTGCTATTGAACCTCGTGTTTTTGGCTAAGCAACAATATATGAGTAGTTTCTATTCCAAACTTCATAACACTAAGCTATTTGTAAATTATTTCTTCTAAATTGAATCAGGTGCTTAAACACTGCCATATGCCAGGCAGTAAATATTTTTTTTAATTGCTAAAGAGATCCAACAAGTTTTTGCTTTTTTAAAATCACAACAGAATAAACCCCACCAATTCCATGACCTCCCCAAAACTGTTGTGGCTTATGAAGCAGTGATCTACAAATCTGAAGAGCAATCATCCTAAATCAACTAGAGGAGACTGATACAGTGATGTATGAAAACAAAGATGGAGTAGTGCACCATTTAAAATACCTTCAGTTTTGGTTTTGGTTAGAAGGTAAAACATGCTCCTTGGCATAGAGGCAGTAATAAAATAGGTTGTCTTCTCTAAAAGCCAAAGCAAAATCAGAAATTAGGAAAAAAGTAACAAATTTTACTTGTATCACTTAGTAAACGGTTAAGAGGTGAAAATAACTACTATGAAACATACAGAGGCAAAATGTATTGCTAAATCATGAATGGCAGTTTGTATCAGAAAACCTGAATCGTTTTGTTCTGAGACACTCTTGAACCACGTTCCTTGGACACAGACACGGTAGCAGCACAGAAATCAGCAGATGCAGGCACTTGAACCAACGCTTGCAAATCTGGGAGTAAGCCTGCACAGTAGCTTAAGCATTGAGCAGACAACAACACTTTGCTCCTCTCTAAGAGCTTCCCTTGGCTCTTAAGGCTTTTTGAAGACCCCTCCTGATGGCTCTGGAAAATCACCAGGTCAAAGTTCATAGCCTTCTTAGAAGCCTTCACACTTCAGTAACTAAATGAGTAGCACATCAGTTATGGCAGTCTGTGGTTAACTTTCACTACATTCCCCAAATACAGAGGTTCAGTTTTGAAATTTGATCAATATTTACATTATCTTACAAATCAGATTAATTGGTGAAAAAGCTGCAACATATTCTTTGAGACAGTTCTGAGGAACAAATTATTTGTTACCCAATGTGAATGAATCTGCTGTTTGCAAATATTGATGATGGTTAGTGGAAGTATCACATTGTTAGAAGAGTCTGCAGACTACATGCATAAGTAAGAACCAATGTTGCAAGTAAAAGTCTGAGCAAAGACAACTGAAGTAAACTGTACATTCTATCAATTGTTTAATTAGGACCCATCCCTTACTTTATCATCTATAATCCTAACAAAACTCTGGGATCTGCACATTAACAGGACTTGCACGTCAATCACTATCATCTTCTAAACCAGAAAGGTGCATATGTATTTCCACATCAGGATTTAGATTAGTTTTCATAAAACTTTACACAAGGGCAGCAACCCTATCTTCTGCTACTCCTAGCCAGGTCTGTGCCCAGGTCCTTGTCCCATCCCAAAGTCTGGGGTATCCCTGTTACCAAGGCTCACCTAAGTTAAATATTTACATTCATAAAGTAAATTTTAAGGTGGGTCTATTCCCCTGCCTGCATCTGCATTCATCCCCTCTAACACTCAGGCAGGCAGGTGTAGGCATGGGCAGGGACTCTGACAGCGTTCATGAAACCATGATCCTCACCCCATAACCTGGCTTCATCTGAACCCAGCAAGCATTACACAGTGAATCCAGGCCTGGAAACTGTTTCTGCTGCAGTTTCTTTAGTCACTTTTCAGTTCACTTCAGTTTCTACAGTCACATTTTGCTGAAGCACTCATCCTCTCCCAGCAAGAGCACAATACAAATGTACGACGACAGACAAGCATTGCTCTTTCTTGTCTACTCCTGCTCTTCTCCTGTCCTGGTGACCCCAAGCATTTACCAGTGAGATTCTGTACATAAGTCAGGTGTCCATACAAAAATCAATTTGGAGCCTTCGTAGCTAGATTTCTACTGTTTATTTCTCATTCTCCTCTTTGCAACCAGAGTTAGGCATCACTACCAAAGGCTTTCATCTTTACTGATACAAGCTGGAAAATGTCACATTATCATACTGGTCTGAAACTTGGACTTTGTGGAGAATGCAAAATAAAAATTCAGTCAAAGGTAGGGAAGCTGAACAAGGCAGTAATTGTTGACATATATATACATGTATATTTGCCACAAAAATCTGAATGCAGTGGGGAAAAGCAGAAGATGAAGGAAATAAAAAATGGATCAATTACTGGCCAGGAAAAAAGTGTACCTTGGGAATAGGGCCTATGACAAACAAGCTCACTAAACCAGCAATTATCTGAATATATTTTTTTCCCCCCACATCACACAAGATAAGACAATATTGTGGGCTTCCTCCTGCTGAAAGGCCACTAGCAGTTTGGAGCAATGAAAACTCTTTGAGAGACAGTAGTTGTAAGGCAGAATTACAGAGGCTTGGTGGATCTATCCATGATTGATATAAAACTGAACATATAGAGTGTATTTTCAGGTCTTATCATGTGTGTAAATTCATAAAGGAAATTCAAAGGACAGTTTTAAACAGATTCAATATTTCTGTTACAAATAGGCATATATGTTATGAAACGTCCTCTGGCTGAAAGGCAAAAGTATTGTTATTTGAAAATAGTATCTCAAGTTATGTTTTATCCTGTTCAGTCACAGTAATTCTTGCAATGATTTCCCTTCCTCTTTTACCAAGGGGAAAAAATCCATGGTCTTATTGGATTCTTTAAGCAGAAATGACATTCTGGCTCCATCTAAGTGTTTTAGCTTGATTTTTCCAGAAAAAAAATGCTATTATGAGATGACTAATCACAAAGTCATAAAATTTGAACCATGTTGTCCAAGTTCTATCAAATTTTGCAAGATACTAGATGTCTCAGATATGAATTTCACAGAAGACAGAAACCTAACAGAAACAATAGGACCCACTGTGATTCTTGAAGGAAGAGCAACCACAGCTTTGCCCCTCTTCCCTTGAAGAAAAGTCACTCTACTACTTATCAAAATTCATGTTCTATTTGTTGAAACCACAAGCATGACATCCCGAACACACACAAAAACCCTTGAAAGAGACTAAAATGAATGGTACATTTGAGGAACATGGCAGGGAGCCAGAGCACCTAACAGTGGGGACTAAAATACATAGGCAATGAACCTAGAAAGAAAGTCAGGTTTTAGGTCTACTACTCATAAAACAACTGCACAGCTATGGAGTATTCCCAAGTCATTGCACCTAAGAAAGAAAACCAAACAACACTTGAAGAGGAGATACATCTAAAACATACAATAGACAATATGAGTAAGTCAATACTAATTAAAAAGAAGGGATGAAAACCACTGCAATTATTATTGTGACTGGATAGCTTTAACTTTCTTGGTAGCATGCAATATAGCAATGTAGATTTGTGCTGAGGTGCCTAAACAAAAGACAGAGCATATCTCTCTACATCAAAATGTCCAAGTAATATGATAAACATTGAAATAGAACAGTGGAGAAAACCTCCCACCATTTATTCTTCATACAAATAGACACTATTTGTATATGAAGACTGTAAGCACACATGCATCCCTTTAAAGACCTGGCTTTCAAAGTAGATTTCATTTTTATCCCGTTCCTCTAAGAAGAAAATATCATTGAGAGAAGTCAAATAAAATAAAGAGAATAACTGATGCCCCCCAAAATCCAGAGCAGATACAAATTATTGTTGACTCATATTGTAAATTGCCTGTCCACTACAAGCTTTTAGAGTAATGCAACAAGGAAAAAATGTTTTTCAATCACTGCCATCCATCAACTTGGTAAACAAGTAAAATGTATACTCTGCCATCTGCTAGCTATTAGTCTATGTAATCACAAAATATCATGTAATGTAATCATAAAAAACCACTATTATTACCTACTCTTTCAATTTATAAGCAAATATTTCTATCTGTCAAATGATTTTATGCTAGCATGAGGCTTGAACCTTCTGTGCTGCTTACCATCAATCTAGTCGTCAGTCTAAGATAAGTCTGTCTCTTGCTCAGTCCTCTTGCATTTGGGAAATGCTCAGCATGGCACTGCTGTGTTTGATCCCAGAAGAAATCACATGAAGAGAAGGGTCAGTCAATGATCCAGCTGTCAAGGGCCTGTACAGTTTAACAGCAATGGCTATGGGAGTACTCTTGCTCTTGGTCAGACTGGCTTAGATGGTCAGAGAAGTCTTGTTCTTGGTCAGACTGGCTTAGATGCTGCCAAGAAAGAACAGAATTCTCAGTTCTCAGATTATTTCTTTCTGCATCATATTCTAGTTACTCTTGATACTTATCTTTAAACATATTTCCATGAGAAAGAGCACTAGAAAAGTTATGGTTTTCTCAAATTACCTCGTTTAAAGGTAGAAATAGCTGTTCTAAAATGCTTAAGTCAGAGTAATAGTGCTTTTTTTCCCACAGATTTCCAACCAAAACTATCCATTAGAAAGCAAACACATTAGTAAGAAACTCTGCAGCGAGACTAAAAAATCACAGTGAAGGTTTTTTCAGTGATATGTACTACTAAAATATGTTTAAACAATGGAACTTGATCTTGTTCCTAGAAATTTCTCAATAAACTGAGAAGTCTTCACATAAAGAGACATTCACTATTTTTACCAGCTCACCGAACTTGCCAGAGTTATTACACCATCAGACCAATAGCAACAAGAAGTTCAGTTGGCTAGAGCTAAGACACTTATTCCCTATTAACTACTTTTAATTTATGGCAGAAAACCAAATATTTTATGGCCCTACTTAAGCATATTCTTTTTCCCACCAGGTAAATGTCAGAACCAAAGGTAATAGTGTAAGTGACACAGAAGCCATTATTTCAGCTGTACATCACTCCCATTTGTTCCTGAAGGTGATCCTCTGCCAGCTTGAGGGCTGGACTCTGCTCCTGCAGTGACAGAACCAAGTGGAACAGCATACCAGGGGAATATCTGGGGGGCTGGGGGCCTACCAGGTGTCACAGTAAATTAAAATGGCAACTTTTTAAAGATAGATCCACTGGGCTAAGATTGACTTTGAAACTCTGCATGGATAAGTCTCTCAAGCTACAGAAACATCTTTTCTTTCTTCAGATCAGCTATTTCAGAGCTAATTTCCATACAACCTGTCAGAAACCTTGATTTTCTTTCATGCCTCGGTCAGTAAAATTCTGTCATATTCCACAAACACTACCAGTACACCTTAAAGATACAGTCCAGGATCCCAAATCAATTAACAGGGTAATAACACAGCTGCAGGGACAGGAGAGAGATGATGCTTTTTAAAACACAAGTATGAAGTCTGCACCACTGGAAAGAGCGACCTTCTTTGCATCTTGGGTTGTTGACACCACAAGCATGACATCCCTAACACACACAAAAACCATCGAAAGAGACTAAAATGAATGGTACATTTGAGGCACGTGTAGGAACACCTGCAGCAACCAGGTTTTTCTTTCAGGCAATAGCCACTCAATCTGGCACATGGTGCTGCCAATCCAGTATTGGAGCCCTTCAAGTAACAGAGGTCATCCAAACTACTGAAACAAGGAGCAGACTCAACCAGATCTCTCAAACACATCTGGCTCCTGAATCTAAACTTGTCATCCTTTTCCAGGTGTTTGCTAAATATTTCTGCAATTTGTATAGCAGACTGTCCTGCAATGGACAGGAATTAAGAGTCCAAATCCCACATTTAAAAACTACATTATACATGCTGCAAGGTAACCATTAAAAAATTATGGAATAAAATGTGTATAATGGCAAGTGAGATTTTCCATTTAAAGCTAAATATTAATAAAGAATGTTTCTCAGTTTATGTAAGTTTCATGTATTTTGATGCAATCTTTATTACATGTTTGCTACAGAGTCCATGACTCATACCACAGGAAAACAGTAGCAAGATTGTATCTGCCAGCATCACTCTCTCATTTTCTCACTTTCTAAACTTGGTGTGTCTATTGCATTTGATTTTGATATACATTTTGATAAATGTATTATACATAAGATTTATGAAAATTTTAAATTAATGCTGTCATAAAATGTATGCATAAATAACAGAAATAAGATAGTGATTTCAAGGTGGTTTTCAGTCCAGGAGAGGTTTCATTTCTTAGAGGTACCCTCTAAGTCTATTCAACTTGACTATTATTGCCAACCTTTACATCAGTGACTGAAAATTCAAAGGAAGTCTCCAAAAGCAAAGGCATTTTCTTTTTTTTTTTTCCAGGATGAATTCTGTAATTATGCCGTATAGTATATGACACAAATAAGGAAATTTAGTGAGTCACAGAAATGGAAAACTTCAGTTAATGATTGCACAATATTTTTCAATTAGACACAGGGACAAAAGATAAATAAGTGTGGGGGGGAAAGGCAAGGCAAAAAACAAAAATGCAACAAAAAAACACAAACAAAAAAACGCAACACCCCAATGACAAACCAAAACTTCTGGACTATGCCAATTCAAATTCCCTCTGCAAATTTTAAAACGGGCTCTTTCCCTAAGCAGTGAAGCCACATGGCTCTGTCACCCTTATAATACATATGGAAAAGGGAATGTCCCAAGAGAAGAACACAGAATGGATATCTTCAACCACAGAGGCGCTGACCTATGTTAACCATTATCATGTACTGTAAAGTCATAAAACAGTTTGCTGGCATCAATTCTATACTTTTACAGAAATAAGTATTTTTTAATTTGTTACAATACCTCTTATTTAGTCTATCTAGGTATTTGTTTTTAGAATTCATAACTTCTGATTGCTTCAGAAATTCTAAGACCAACTGCACAGAATCACACCCAAAAGGCTCAGTTTGTAGCCATTGCTGGTTATTGTAAAAAAGAATGCAGAAAAATGCCTGCTTGGCCATTTTCCTGCTGCATTAATATAGAGGGAAATTTACCTCTGTCAATAGTTGACATGATAAGCTGCCAGCACTCAAACTAAAAATGTTTACTAGGCTAACAAGGCAGTGATTCTCTGAGCAGTGGCAGCAGAGAGGAGCACTGCACTATTGTCTAATGGTACAAACTTGACTTCAACAAAAACGACTGCTACATCTGCCAAACTGGCCAGAGTGAGCTTAGGCAAGACCACCCTGTCCTGCACCATGTCAGGATGGCATGAATAAGAGACACACATGTCAACTATAAAAGCGCTTCTGGGAAGTAAAAAAGAAGTAACCCAAAGGAGTGAATTGCTATTGACTCAGAATTGTATTTTGATCTTGTACTGGGGTACTGGATACTCCAGTGATTGATTTATTGTACTGTTAAGCCCTAAGATATTTTGAAGACAAAGAAATAGAGGTATTTGACTGAAGAGATGGAAGGTGGGATGTGATGTGCAGGGCTGGAGCTATGGAGAAGTCACAGCAGCAAACTGGAGGGCAAGCTCTCAATGCCATGGCTGAAGAGCAGGTGGCAAGGAGATGGGGTAAGGTGAAATAAATGTAGAACTAGAACTCTGCTTTCTCCCTCCCACACTGCCAAGTGAATCTCCACTAAATTTATTACTTTTTACACACAAAAACATAACTTAATTGCCAATTGAGAATGTGTATCTGCAATAAATATCAAAGCACATGTATTTTCTCAGAATGAAAAAGCAGCATAACCAGAACGTAAATTACAGCTATTAATTCCCACCCAAATTTCTGACATTATCCATTATATGCAATTCTATTGTGGATATGAGGTCATGATAAGTAGATTGCTAAAGCAGCCCACTACTTTTGAGTGACAACGCTCTCATTTGAGACATCAGTTAGGGGAGATATTAATCCAACCAGAGTTCAACTTCTTACATTGCAGTCAACATTTTAACTTCCAGAACAAATGGCCAAACAAGATTTTAACCCTATAACAAATGACTATGCAGCATTTTAATGACCAATAACAAACAACTGTGAACACAAGTGTAAGGCATCTTCCCTAGCTTTAGATGACTAAATAAGGAAGATGAAGTCTTGGATGCAAGATCAGCACACCTATTCATATTTTCAAGAAACATCATTATAAAACCAAAACTATGCATAAATTGAGGATTTACTTGCATATCCTTTAAGATACAAATAATACTATATTATCAGGAAAAAAGTATTTCTATTCAGCATTTCAGATTCAATTAAGTATTTAGTAAAAGTTAGGTAATAGTGTATTCACTAGGACTATCTAAAGGAAAATCTTTTCATACAGCTAAATCTTTAAATCATCAACTGTTTTTTTTAACAACCCATACTCCACCCTTCTCAGCCTGGACTCTCATAGCTGGTTGGAGTTCTTCACGTACTAGATTTCCTTTTAACACCATGTAGGAACAGATAGATACTCACATACTTGACAAAAAATAAGAATCAATATATGATTAGCAGCACAATTGTTACAAACACACAGGGTCCTGCAGTTATCAGAAGGGTGTATCCAGGGATTCTCAAAAGTCCAAATGCCTGATTGCTACCTAATAGAGTCTTAACCCTTTTCTCTTGACAAGAGATTACCAAAACTCAGGGGCTGTGCTCCCATTTTCTAAGGCAAAGTCCATGCGTGGCAATTTAGTTCAAGCACTTTGAGTTCAAGTGGCTTTTAACAGGATCAGAGACCAACAAATAAAACTAAGTATATCAGGTACATAGCTGTTGTTTGCTTTGTCCCCTGCAATGGTGATCCAGTGACCTACCAGGTTAACCTTAGGTGAGCAGAAGTGTGGTAATATTTCACTACATCACAATCCATTCCAACTTCTAGGTTTATATCACAGAGAAGTCTTAATTTCTACTACTAGTACAAACATGTATTAAAAGGTATTGAAAAAAAAAGAAGTCTTGGAAAAATACACCACAAAGTTTTCTCTAAGAATATATAAAACTAGTAACAGTAATGTTAGAATATTTCTTACAATATTTTAAAAACAGTTTCTCAGTCAATTGGTCAGAACTTGCAGAGCACAGTACATGGATGGGTTTTTCTGACACGTGTTTGGAATGACCAGTGTAATTGAGCAGTTGCAAGTTCCCCTAAGTAAGGGAAGTACACTCAACACATTGGTTTTACTTTAAAAACGCATTCCCAAAGTATGTGCCCGAAGATATATTTTGGAAAAGACATACCAGACAGACTACATAAACACCTCCTCTCCCAACACTTTCATCGTAACTCACACAGACAGCACCTTAGACTTTCGAAGACATTTGCTATGAGGTATCAAGTAAACTAACTTCTTG